TGCATGAAAGAAAATGCAATACTATTATTTTCTAAAGCGTTGAGATCTTGCTCCCTGACATATGTTATTATAATAGTTTGCCTAAAAAAAACCTCATAAAAATTTTCAAAAAATTGTGTTGCATGCTTGTTTTAAGAAATATAAGAGAGAATTATGTAATTTTCCTAGCATTCAATATGTGGAAGCTATTATTTTCTTCCTTATTAATGATAAGTTATGTGACACTGGTGTACATTCAGTTTCCCATAACTGGTTAGTCACCATAAAACAGTGTCAGGCCACAAAGGTTATGGTACCATAAACCTAATCTCTCCTTGGTTGTACCTTTATTATTAAAGACTTCTTTAGAAATCTGCAAGTTTAGGTTAACCCTTATCAACTTGTCCGCAAAAGGGTCTAGTTCCAGAAGGTACCCATCAGTAACAGAGGTCAAATGCAATTATCTATGTATTTCACTCCAGTCAAATAATTCCTTGATACCCTTAAAGTCAACTGTGGTTTGTGTTTTTTACTGGAAAGAGCACTATAATGTTAGTTGGGCATATCTTTATTTCCTGCTATTAATCTGGAAAGCCAATAGTTAACCATCTTAAAATTAAATATTATCCCTTTAAATTGGAAATGAATTAGACCATGGTATTTCCCTTGGCTCAAGGATAAATGCCATGGAAATTAAAGAAAATAGTTCTAATGTCATGAAACACAAAGGTCAGATAGGGTGAGATGATTGCTCTCATTATTAACATTACTTTGCATTTAGATAGCCCCTCTCCTATACCAGACTCATTCTCATTCTAGCCCACTCACTGCTCAGTAGCTGAACTGCTTCTGAAGCTCCTAATGACATCAAGAGTGATCTTGATATGGTAAAGTGAGTCAAGAGGAGAGTTAGCAATTAACCTCTAGGCTTTATTAGCTCACTCTGATCTTTTGCAAATGACCTACAAAAATAGACTTACTTGAAAGTAATCTTATATAATAAAAGTCTAATATGCATATTGACCAAACAGCAGAACAACCAGTGGAACAACCAGTTACTATGATATTTACTGATTACCAGGGGTCAGATGCTCAACACAGGAGCTACCCGTAGCACCCAGGCCCCAGTCAGCCAAGGGAGGTGACTGGCAAGGGCTGGAGTTGGAACTGGCAAGTGGGCAGCACCAGGACAACCAGGGTGGGTGCCAGCTGGGACCTCCTGATCACCTCTCAGGTCACCCCACGGATTTATCCTGATTACTGGCCAGGCCTAGGACCCTTACCCATGCATAAATTTTGTGCACTGGGCCTCTGGCACCCATATAAACTTAAAGCCTCTCCTGAATTCCTGATTTATCTGGATTTCAAATGTTGTGTGTATGTGTGTATAGGTTGTTGTCTAAGTCAGACAATACTAAAAATGCTAAGATTTACAAAGACAAACAGAAATTAAAAATACAAGGCTTAGTTATCCTTGTTGAAAAAAAAGGAAAAAAAAAAAAAAAGGAAAGGACTTCTCCCTCTTTTAGATAATTTACATCAGAAAACATAATTGTAAGTACTTTCTCCTCTCCTTGACATGTATGTAAATCCTGTGGGAAAATTAGACAGGTCTTTGTCAGTTCAATGATCTAGAAATGTCTTTTTGAAGTATCTCTTGAAAATGTAAATATCAAAAAAGAAAGCACCCAGTGGGAGGGTGAGAGGCTAACTTCAGTGGGATCCTTGCTTCACGATGGCAAAAGTACCTCCTTTCAATTAGATATTCGGATTTTATTTTTCCTCTGGATAAAGCCATTACGCTAACAGAATTATCAAGTAATTTTAGGATAAACTCTATGTGACAAATGGTAGTATCAAGTCCTCCTACTTCAGGTCTTATTGTTGATAATCTTGAAAACATATCCTTAATGGGTTGCATCTGCTTGGCTATACACTAATAAAAGAATGAGATTTATTTCTGTCTTTGCAACCTCTTGGTGGATTGCCTATGATGAGCACCACATTCCAGCTTAATGTTTATTCAATGATAAAAGTGTTTTTATCTCTACCGTCTTTGTGGAGAGGATTTCCGGATTGAGAGATTTTTGTTTTTAATTGTTTCCACAACACATGACTGAGTTTTTAGATGGAAGATTGGACTTGAGAGAATAATAGAATATACTCTGTCACTTGTTCTTAACCATAAATGTGCATTTGACTCATCTGCAGGGTTTAAAATACAGATTCCAAGCACCATACTCAGAGGTTCTGCCACTACATATTTTGAGTGAAGTAGTGGGCCTGGTGATTTTGATGCAAATGGTCTGTGGGCACCATTTTAACATAATTTTTAAATTATGTTAAAATGGTGCCCACAGACCATTTTAACATAATTTTTAAAATTTACTATATGAAAAATTCTTCCTTTTACTGCCTAATCACTAACTGGCTCATTTATATATTTTATTTACCTTTACAAATATATAACTACAACAGCAGCTAGATCCTCTCTGCTAAGCAATCTTTTTACATTTGAGCTTTCTTTTTCATTCATCACAAAGTAAGAAAACATTGACCATCCCTCTCAGGCCTGGCCCAGGCCCTGGCCCCTCATTCTCAGAGCCCCTGCCTCCCACCTCACTGCAGAGATAGAGACAATTAGCATCTCTCAACTCCTCTGGCTGTGTCTTATTTCTCCTTTGCTTCTAAATCAAAGAATCAACTACCACTTTTCAAGGTTAACCCTTTCACCTGTTCCTTAAGTCTTATCCCGCATTTTATTTCCTTATTATCTCAATTATTTCAAATCTCTGGAGTACTTTCCCATTACTCATGTGTATTCAGTTGTTTCTAGTCCTCTAATCCTAAAATTCTTTCTTCTCATTTAAATAGTTGAGTTAGGTTACTTCTTCCTTTCCTTCATCACCAAAGTTATCTAGCTAGTAGTCTATTTTCATAACTTTCATTTTCCTGTTTCCCCATTTCTTGCTCACTTGCTGCACAGCGATTCAGCTCTCACATAGTTGTTTCCAGCGTCAACCTCTCTCCTTAGACCTAGCATCATATTTCCTACTACTGGATAGACGCTGCTACTCTCAGTTCTTAAAGCTCCACAAGTTCATGTTTTCCAAACCCAAAATTTCTTTCTAAAATATGCAAGTGCCCTATGCTTTTGCTGTCATGTAACAGTATCAACATTCAGTTATCCATGTTCAAAACATCCTCTAGTCTTCTCTCATGTCCCAAATGGAATCAGTCCTAAGTGCTGCTGGGAGTCCACCACACAGTATCTATGCTTCCACTGTCACTACCTTTGTGATATTTCTCTTGGCTTCGAGTCCCTTCTGAAGTGTGTCTCTACTTTTCCTAATGTCTGCTTTTTACAACAAAATGTGACATTTAAAAACGCTTCAGAAGATATGTTTTTAAAAAGACTAAATAACTCTTCTCTGCCTATAAAATAAAAACAAATACTTTTATTAAATAAATAACATATCAAGTATTATTGTAAAAAAAATGAACCTGACTTTACTCAAATCTCTAGCTCTAATTAGTTTATAGGATATACAGGAAAGGAGGAGCATATTAAATGACATGTCAGAATGGCAGTCAACCAGATCTAGAGTGTCAGAGTCCTACAAAACAAATGACCAAATTACTTAAAGAGATAGAATTTTAGAAAAGTGAAGGACAGGGAGGAATGGTTATAAATTATTTTAGATTTAAGACACATATTAAAAAATGTGGATATTTTAAAAGCAAAATGCCTGAGTATTAGATAATATTAAGGTCTCATTAAGTTTATTAGATGTGCACATGAAGTATAACGATTTTTAAAAATTCTTCTTTTTTTAAAATTTATTTTAAATATTCCAGAGATGGGATTGATAAGGAAGATAAAACAAAATTTGTAAATGTTGATAATTGGTGGAGCTGATAATCAACATAAATGCTCTTTTTATTAATCTCTGCTTTTGTATACATTTGAAATTTTCCATAATAAAAAATAAAATAAAACACAAACAAACCAATGCAAAACATCATTTCTGGTATTCAAAACCATTAACAAACCTCCTTTAGACATTGTCTTTCCTGACCTCCATATTTTAGTTAACCTGCCAAACATCTGCTTCCTAGGTCTGAGCTCATGAAGACATTCCCACACTCTTTGGTCTTTACTCTGGAGGAAGCCAGATTGCCTCTCTGCAGATAAACTAGAAATCTCACATCAACTATGTAACAAGCTACTGATTGCTCTATGCAAGTGTGTGGTTGCCCTATCCTGCTCTGGACACAGGAGTAATGACAGGTATGGAGAATGTGAAACGTGGTAGAAGTTTTTCAATTTGGATGGCAGACTGAAAAAGTAGTTTCAGATTATCTAACTTTTATTTTGAAAATGTTGAACTGTGGTTCTATAACTTTATCTCATATGAAATGACAAATACTTAAATGAATTGTTAGATTTACATCCCATTGAGTGCAGATTTGAGGAAGCTGAGACACATGTTTATCAATATGGTCAAAATCTCCTATCTGTCGCCAAATTGATGGGTTGCTGTAAAATGCACTCTGAAGCTGGCCGTGTATTTTAGTGGTGACCAACATTTTATTGAAATAGTATTTTTTGAGTATTGCATAATATTTCACAATCATTTCTTAAGTGTTATTTCTAATAAGTCTATTAGCATATATGAGCAGTTTTGAGAATCTGAATTAACTTATGAGGAAAAAAAGGCATAAATTAGGCAAATTTGGAATAAAATTAGCCTTTCCCAATTTTATCACCCACTAGCCAATATTTTTTTACATCTGTGAGCAGCCATTATAATGATATTAACTACGATGAACACTTTGTATGTTAATGTGGATATAATTTACAACTCCAGAAAAATGTCTTTTGTCATTTGCCATTTGTTAATATCTACTTAATATAGAGGGATCCCCACATCATTTTTCATATGTATTTAAATGATTTACTTTCCAAACATAATCACTCGTTCAGACATAATTAGAGAAAAGATTAGGCTTAGACTTACCAGGAAATCTACTGTGGAGGTTGGCATCACAGTTGTAGCCATTGAACTGAGCAGACCCCGGAAGTACTCTTATTGTTAGAAGCAACAGCAACCATATCTGTTCCATTGCAAAACCTAGAAAAGATTTACCTATGATGTTATCACCAACCTTCACTCTTACTTGCTGGAAATACTGAGGCTGATCTAACTCACTGTTGGCTAGGCAAGCAATCTATATTCCTGCAAGCAAAGGTCATGAAAGGCCCAAAGACTCTCAGAAATAATTATTAGCAACAAGGCAGAGATTTTGGTTACAATAAGTCAAAATTATTTTCATTCGTTGGCTTCATTTTGCAAAAGGTGACAAAGCCAGGCTTTTTTTCATAGAAGAGCAACTAGTCAGGTGTAAGTTATCAAATTTGTAAAAGGAAAAATCTTTAACATAAATAGGAAGAACTCAAACTAAGTATTTGGCAGATTAGAACACCATCATCAGGCAAACTGACCAATTTGGAGAAAACTCTGCACTTGAAAATACCCATATACATAAAGGCAGAGGAATTTAATACTTACTACTTGATCCTCAGAGAATTGTAATACTCTCAATGACCAAATAATGTCAGGAAAAATTTCCCCTTAACAAAAAAATTCCAGACTACTCCAAATCATTGGTTTGTACATCATTTTGTCAGGAAACACAGCAAAAGGGAAAATAGAAAGGCACTGTGTGTGAAACTACACCATGGTTCCTCCAATGGCTGGCTGTTCACTGGTGGGTAATAAGGATTACTAGACACACAAAAACATTGGATTCTTACCAAAAAGTAATGGAAGATGATATTTTTAAGTTGTCAATGTGGATTGAATAAACAAACATAAATTGACTTTAATACTTACGCACCAGTTAGTCTGGTATTTAATTATTGTTTTCTCCTCACTTGGCCTGATAAAGTTTCTTTTTATTAGCCTGATAAAGTTAAAACATGTTCTAGGAGTGCCCATCTTATTTATAGAGTATAGTCTTTTCACTAAAAAAAATAAAAAAAATAATAATAATCTTTTAGGTTGGTGGTTTTGGTTTATGCATAAAAAGCAAAAATAAAATAAAATTGTAATTGGTTGGTTCAAATTATTTAGTGCACTTTAAAAGCTTGAGGTTTGGGGGAGAATATGATGTTTTAGATGTCCTTAAAGATCTTCCCTTGGAAAATTACTCAAGTCTTTAACAAAAGGAAGAAAATACATCTTGTTTTTGAATAATCATTTTAATATAACAAGTTCATGGTGAGTGACCTCACTTTGGTGAGGATGTGGGAAAGGAAGGCATGAGTTTATGCTCAAAAATAGTCTGAACAAATAGTAACTCAACAAGAGCTTCCTTTCTTTAGCATTATAACATAATAGTCAGGCACAAACCTAATGGCTTTTGGGAGAATAACCACAGGCCTGATTACTTCTGCTCCCCCAGGACAGTCCCTAAACAAAAGGCTCACACAATTGCTGGCCCAGATGTGGGCTCTCTTGGCCACACCTACACCTTCATTGTCTAGTTCCTGGAGACCCTGGAAATAGATGAAGTCATCCCTGCTTGTTTGGAGACTTTGGAAGACCACTAGTAAAAAAGAGCAGCTTGTTTCTGAGTGGTATCTTCCACCTCACACACACCTATCTCAGCCCTGCCCCTCCCTTCTCATGATAGGTGCCCTTGAAACTCTATGCCCACACTGTTGTTTTCACTCTGGAGATGTCTCCCATTCCTAGGAACTCACAGAGTCAAGCGGTTTCAACAATGAGTTATTTTATTATTCTGAATGCTTTCTAGCTTTTATATTCTTTCATAAGAGAAAAATAACATTTACTGAGTACACTCTGTACACATAGAGGGCACTGTGTACCAGACCATTTACCTACAGTGTCTCATTCATATTCCTTATCATAGTTGGATGGTACAGGTACAGTGAAAGAAAAATACATCTTGGGAAGTTTAAAGGACATGGAAAACAAATAGAAAAACTGGAATTCAACTTCAGGTCTTTCTGATAACAGAGTTTACTGCACAGATTATCTAATATCTGTTAAATAAATTCAGTTGTTTTTTTCTTTCTTTTTTTTTTTTTTTGTTGCCATTTATCATCAGTTGCTTTCTTTCAATTTTTGAATTATGTACTCTTTAATATTATCTGTTCAACTGAAAATGAATAAACAAATTCTTATGTAGTGAATGTAATATGTTTAACAGGTGTATTTATAATATGAGCATAAGGGGGAAACATTATGTTTTTGATAAGGGAAAGGAAACTCTTATTATGAAAAGAGTGAGAATTATTACTATAGACTAAACTGGACACATGTGTGTTTATAAAAAACGGATGAGAAATTCAAGCTATTTGAAAGAGTCTACTGACATAATAGTAAGTCTTTGCTTTACCACTTTAGATCTGATCTGAGGTTGTCCAAAAGAGATATGCCTCTCCCCTTCATATCATGAATAAAACCTCCTGCACTGTCATGGAGATTAAAACCCTTAATGAATATTTTTAAAGAAAGGAAGGTAACAGAAGGCAGCTTGCTTCAACAGAAAATACATTGATCTTGAAATAAGCAGATTCAAATAAATGGATTAAAATCCCCCTTCAGTCAATCTCTAGAGTTGCCATTTAAAAATCAAGGTGAGGATCAGAACACAGCATGTCAGTCTGGACACACAGAAGGTATTGAAATATTAGCTTCAGGGCCACCACACATGGATGTGCAAGGTGCACCCAGCACGGGGGCATCCAATGGAAAGAGGTGGGGACAGAGCCTGTTCTCCTTTGGCTAAGCCACGTGTGCTGGAGCTAGACAGCTCGACACAGAGGAGTCCATAGACTAGGGTCAGTTCTGATAAGTTGAATCACATTATTCTATTTATAGCATTATCTGCACTGGTCTGTGTTTTAGTATGAAGAAACATTGAGCAGGGCATTTTTGAAAGGATATTCACATCTCTTGTATAGGCAGCATCTATTAATACATTTGGTCCCTTATAACATTAGCAGTACTTGTGGCATATTTAAGACTTTGAGAGGCTTTTTATATTCCATCTACAGGTTAAAACAAACGATGAACTATTAACTTGCAAACTTCCTGTTCCCAATCAAATCTCCATCATTTCCCCTGAACATAGAAAATCTGAGCATCAATTCACAGCAACTAACTTGGAGATACTACCTTGCCACAGTTCCTAAAGTTCATTTCTGAAATAGGGTCACTTGGAATTTAAAGAAAGGAAAGTAGCAGGTTGAAATTCTTTATACTCCTCAAAGCATAATGTCCTGGTTGCTCGGACTCCCTAGCTCCTGGGCAGGAGCAGTTCTAGACAACTGTACTCCAGAAAACGTAGCTGAGCTTCCTGTCACAGGCAGAGTCTAATTCCCGTGGTCTGCTGTGGGGTGGCCTGAGGTGTCTGCTGTTCCACTGTGGCTCCAGCAAACTCTGATTAGAGAACCAGATAGAAGCATCTTCCCTCTACTCCACCGTAATTAAGTGCAGGAACCAGCGCCCCTATCATGGTGCTAACAAGGTGTACAAGGCTGCCTAATGCACCCAAATTATAAAATATCAACAATAGAGAATTAGATAATAGATGATTGGATAATAATGACCTTCAAGATATGTCTGCCTGAAGTTTTTGTACGTTTCTTAGAACTTCCATAAATTTAAATTGAATGCCCTTGTGCAGAGTACACCTTGCACATCCATGTGTGGTGAAACTAATATTTTAATACCTTCTGTATATCCAGACTGACCATGCTGTGTTCTGATCCTCACTTTGATTTTTAAATGACAACTCTAGAGATTGACTGAAGGGGGATTTGAATCCATTTATTTAAATCTCTTATTTCAAAATAAGAGCTGAATTAAGGAATTCAGAGGTGTTGATTTTAAAAAGAGTCATGTTCATCTTTAAACTGATACTAATGGGCTCTGTGTTTTATCCTTAGCAAAACAAAGGAGATTCTAAATAATTTTCTGTCAAGTATCTCAACATTTCTCATATTAAAATTTTTTAAAATAGCTTCTTCTAAAATATGAATTTCTAATATATTTTCTTAAGATTAAACTTGGATTTGGAGAAATATAATTTCACTTTCAATTCTCACTTAATTTTATATCAAATTATACAGTTCTGTCAGAAACATGGTTCTCTAGATTTTATATATTTAATTTTTTAACCTTCTTATTATTGAGATCTGCTATGTGCCAGGCACTGCACTCTGCTTGATATTCAGCTGTTAACATAAATTTAAATTTCACCCATGTTAAAAATGTGGAATCAGAGCCTAAAGTTTTTATTTGGTTTACCAAGGACCACATACCCAGGAAATGGCATAGTAGACTTCAAAGCCAAGCATGACTCTTGGAATTATAACTCTACTGTTTGACTTGGTTGGAACTTGTCAGATAAACAAAATTAATGTCCTGCTAATTTTCAGAAAGTAAATTATATAAATAATGTGTGCTTAAAATATGCTTTGAACTAAAAGATTTAGAAGATTTAGGCAAAATATTTTTAACTTCTACATAATTGTCATGACACTATTTCACTTAGGCAATGAGTGCATCAAGAATATTCTTTGCACAAATTGATTTAATGATAGGTTCAGTGAATGTTAAAGGGTGACAGTTTATGAGAATGTACATCTATCTTTTTTGTTAAGCACTTCATACATGAGATAAGTGAATTATACCCTTATCCTGGGAATGAGATAACTAAAGCACAGAGATGTTAACTTATTTGTCTAGGGTTAAACAGACAACCAGTGTTAAAATCAAGATTCAATGCACAATGACTCCAGAAAGCAGCCTCAACTATGAGGTGGTACTGCCTTCCAAAAAGTGATTCTTTTTTTTTTTTTTTAATATTTTATTGATTTTGTACAGAGAGGAAGGGAGAGAGATAGAGAGCTAGAAACATCGATGAGAGAGAGTCATCGATCAGCTGCCTCCTGCACACCCCCCACTGGTGATATGCCTGCAGCCAAGGTACATGCCCTTGACTGGAATCGAACCCGGGTCCCTCAGCCCCCAAGCCGATGCTCTATCCATTGAGCCAAACCGGTCTCAGCCAAAAAGTGATTCTTATAAGAGGAATT